AACTTGAAGCCTTGAGCTGGAAAGGCGCTGCACAGAAATGAAATCCAGTTGCATCTGGAAGCCGCCGCCTCCGTGGGGGTCCTAATCAGGTTGAGTACAGCTCCGTGCTGCCCAGAGCAGCCTTCAGTGGAGGTAGGCCATTTAAATGCTTTCTGAACTCCATTAGTTACTCCTGCTGAGAGTGAAAAAGTCCTCATAAATGCATAAAAAACTAAATTGCCTATGTGGTAAGAAATGAGGTGGTACCTTGCTGCCAAATATTATTTTCCATCCAAATAGTCTACAATCACACATATAACACAGAATCACAGAGCACATACCTGCGAGGCATGCAGGGCTGACTGGGAATGCTGTGCTCGAAAATCTAATGACATCTCATCATCTGCTAACAATCCCGACTTGGCTTCAAGTTTACTTCTCCTCGGCTCCCACCCCCACCCGGGATGGCCCCCACAATCTCCATTCCAGGCTAGATGAGGGCATCAGGCCAGCTCAGTGGGAGCAGAGAGATGCCTGGCATCAGTGAGTGAGACAGCAAGGGCCCAGGGCCCAGTCACAGCACTGAGGTGCAGTATGGGGTGAACAGGACTACTGAGAGAGAGAGATGCACTCTTTTTTTCCTCCCATGTTTCCTGACTTTGGCAGCAGGTGCGCCTGGGACCGCAACTGTCTATTTTGCCATCACAGGCAACCTCAGAAGGCAGGCGAGAGCTACCTTGAGAGCTGGGGAGACAATGGATCCTTAGGACACCGTTTTGAGGCCCAGGATCCAGTCATGCACCTGAATTTTCAGTTATATTAGCCACTAAATTCCATTTTTCTTAGATACAGGTTTTCTTTCACTCGTAATCAAAATAGTCCTAATTGACAACCAATTAAAATGGAGAACTATTTTAATTTACATTTTGGTCTTGGAAGAGGTTTCTCTTTACAGGTGAGGAGGGGCACCGAGATGCGGGGAGGTGCTGCTTGCCGAGGTTCTCTGCTAGTCAGCAGTATAGCCAGGACCAGAACCCAGGGCTCGTGCCTTCTCATGTGATGTTGACATGAGACCATGGGAAAATTCAACACGACGGACTTTTTTAAAACTTTGAGTTAAAACTTTCCTTCAATTTAAAGTTTACTTATTGGCTAATATACTTTAAAAAATAATTTACAAGTTAATATTTTTAGTGATCTTTTGCATTGTTACCTAGAATACGGACAACATGAAAATGAACTAAATTTCTTAGAAATGTGTTTGTGGTCTGCTTTGACAGCAATAGAAATAGCCCAACAAAATAGCTTAAAATGTTTTATTAAGTATATATAATATTACAGGGTAATATTTACAAAGTTATGTTTTTAAATAAAAAAAGTATCTTGGCAAAGATTGCAGATATTCAAAGCTTCAAACAGTGATAAATTGATTTAATACATATAAAAAAAACCTTTAACGGTAACACAGCTGTAAAACAACTTTGGTCTTTAAATCACCGCAAAAAATGGCTACTGACAAATAGCACACCTTTAATTGCTATGGAAAAAAGCCCCAAGAGAGGATCTTGCACATAGCAACACTGGAGTTTTATTTATTTAGAATGGTTAATGGATATTTATATGATGTAGGACCTAAATCTCAACAATGGCTTTTTGTAAATAATGCTCCATTTAATAAAAACAGAAATGTTTCCTTCTCTCACCAACCCTGATAACAACACTTTTAAGATTCCACTGATGTTGCCTTATAGAGAAGCTTATTGCAAATGCTCTTTTTTTTTTTCAAAAGGCTAAATTTATGGGAAAGCTGGTCTTAAATGATAAGTAAGAGCTGTCAAAAGCCAAAGGCAGGAAACTTCCTGTTCACTGCTTATCTCTTAAAAGTTACCTGGATTATCCCTATTAGCCATGGAAAATGACTTAACAAAGGACCCCAGTGGGTGATGGCAGTTAGTGATTTTGAAAATTTGACACATGTGAAACTAACATCTCTAAACAAACTCTCCATTAAATAAAACATAATAAAAAGATAAAGGGTTGCCCAACAATCATTTTTCTAGTTTCCGACGGTAGGTAAATAAAGGAGTATGTATTTCCATGAACACATTCCACAGATCTGTTTTTGAATACCCCTTTTAGGAAAAAAAATATCTAGAAGGTGATATAGACCTTGATTCTTAATTAATGAGATGGAGGAGGAGTAAACTTATCACTTTTCGAGCTTTAGTAACTCAAATCACAATTCGGCTGGTCATTTATTAAATTGACTGTAATATCCTGGAATGAGCAATACTCTCAAATTTTGGGAGAGCCCTATTATTTTCGTTTTGACCTTCTCAGAAATTTAAACAAAATGGACCTGGAGTTTCCAGGTGAAAAAAATCACCTTTTAAAGTTTTCAGAAATTTACATGAAATTTGCCAAAAAAGAAATCTAGATCACTCTACTGAAAATAGTGGGGAATCTGCATACAGTCAACTCTCAATCATCCAACTTATGTACCGAACACCTCATGTATGCAAAACACTGCCGGAAGAGAAAGATGGGGGGAGAAAAGCTCTTGCCATAACAGAATTTCAAAATTGAGAGAAGACAAAAAAACAAAAAAACAAACCTGACAGAAGTCAGCAGACACACATGGTGGACTGAGTGAGAAAGGTGTTTGTAAGAGATGAGAGAGGCAGCTGCATAGGTGGGGGCGGGGCTACAGATGACAGCCAGGACGGGATGGAGGGATGGAGGGCAAGATTTTGTAGGAGATGGAAAATCGGATTTGGCCAAAAATGTAAAGATTGCTGCAAAAATGACAAGTGGCACCAGCAGATGTACCATAAATAAAATCCAGTGGGAGAGTTAATGGCAAAAATTGGGATCATGAGTAAACAGCAGGTTGTTGGAAGCTGGGGGGCAGAGACATGATGCTCAAGACATTGTTAACAGTTCTAATTTGGTGTGACAAGAGACTGGGAGCCACTGCAAGTCTGATTTAGAGAGAAGGAACTGGCCCAGTGATGCCTAAGAAAGGGGGCTCCTGCTGATATGGTCCCTTTTCCAGAGTAGCTGACAGCTTATAAGATCAAGAGCTGATGTCACCTGGCATCTCACCTGCCATCTCTGTGCGTCATCTAGGGCAGTGAGTGCCTCAAAAGACAGGCAGCATTAGAACACAAAGGGTGATGGGCAGGTCCCAAGCCTGAACCCCAAATAAATGAGAGCTTAATACATATTAAAAGGTACAACTTTAGTATATATAAAAAAAGTTTACTATAAAGATTTTCATGCCTGACTTTTTTCTTAATAGAGAATAGGTATCTGGATCTTTTTCAAGTTCATCTGCTTTTCTCCTCCTTTCATCAAAATTGATTTCTAAAGTAACAAACAATATTAGTAAAATATAAATATTTTCAGAGGGAAAAAGAGCAGCAAGAGCCATCAGATTTATATAAAGGAATACAGCTCCCTCGACATAGGATAATATTTTGGACAGCAACACAATTAGGAAAGAAAATGTGTATTTTTTTTTTCCCAAGAAGGGCTGTCTTCATGGTTTGCTCAGTTTTCTGAGAAGCATCAGCAGGTCATAAATTGAGGCTTGCCACAGGCAAACCACTTGGTCCCAACATGAAATATGACAGTTAATTTGGCATAAAAGAGGCACATGGGAACATTCAGTGGACTAAGAAGTAACTATTAGTAATTTAACTACAGGTACAAAGGTCTTATTACACAGACAGGAAGAGTTACTAGTATTTTTAGAGGGTACTGTGAGCAGTCAAAAAGCTTGACAAATTACCTAGAAGTTTTTGAGGTTTTAAGTGATCAAATACTTGCATCAAATATAATCCCACTCAATAAAGATCTTTTTTAATGTTGTTACTAAAAGCATGAAATTACCATTTGCTCTCCTGTAGGTACCCCACTGTTGTCCATACAGAAGATGCATGTGCCTATCTTATACATGTGCACACACACACACACACACACACACAAAGGAGGAAAATGAGAGCTAATAATCTAAAAGTACTCCAGGCGATCACGACTGTCAGAATGTTAATTTTCTTCTAACAGGGGTAGGAAATGGGGGGGGGGGTTGTTTTACCTTCCAATCTTAGAGTAAGGGGCTTACGGAGGCAGGACTACAGGAGGGAGGGGATGAGTGTTTATCATGCAACACAGATACAACGCTAACAAAACCACCAACAAGGCGGGCTTGTTGGCCTGACGGTGACACACAGTATGTTGCCATGCAGGAGACTCATAGTTCAAATCTCAATCTTGGTTTTTCATGCCCCAGATCAGAAAAGAAGTGAAGAAACACTGTAGATTGTGCCTTCAAATCCGAGGAAGGAAATACATATGTTACAACCATCGCTATTTTTGCTGAAAAGTGTGAACATAGTTCTCTGAGAATAAGTCTGGCTCCTTTCTGCAATGATGTACCGTGTCACTGGACCATGTTCAAAGAGGAGAAAAGGTGCTACATCTTGTACAGCAGAAGCAAATAACAGGAGGACAAGACAGGGCTTAAAGGGTTGTGTGAATAAAAGAAAAACACATCCATCAGTAAAATTACCCTAAATCTGAAAAGGATTCATTACACTGTATGTCGAAGGAAGAATGTGTGAATGGCAACCCCCAAGAATGAAGACCATGATCTCCTACCGTATCGCATCACATGTAGGCGGCATTCAAGATGTTCCCAAGTAAATTCCTGTCTGTACTTAAATTTGCTATTTCCTTGACCAGAACTAGTAGAAACTGTATTCAGCTAACACCAGCTGTAACTGCCAAAGTGGCTGCGAACATAACTTTGCTAAGGTTCAATGGAAGCCACTGTTGTTCCCAGACCTCTCTGGGAAACCACCAGGGCGTAGCGCCAGGTAAGTCTCACCTGGAACCAATTTAAACTGGTGACCTAAAGTCAAGAGGCCCTAGGATCTGAAAGGCATCATTCTTGGAAGTTGGCCACTCTACTCTTGCCCCTAATTGACTAAAAATAACAACAAAAAACTGGATCTCAATTGGGCACACAACACAGATAATAATTCTTTTATTAACTAAGTTACAAATGCTTTGAATAAAAACTTAACTGTAACAATAATCATTTCAGGGTCAATGATTTACTTTCTCCCACAGATGAGAACCAGTTATTTTTCTTGTTTTCTTCTCCTGAACAGTGAATCAAGGCCATGGTGCTCAAACACAATTGTATTCCTTTCACGTCTTACTACTTTCCAAATCAGAGTCCATCACTTCACTTCAGTTACTCTGGAAAATTGAAAACGAACATATAATTGTAATTTATGTCTATTTTCTATGCATTAACAAGTTGATGTATTTTTTAAAAAAACTGGAATTGTCACATATAAGGTATCTAAAAATAAAGAAAAAGTATTTAATCTTCGATTTGCAAAGGTCACAGACATAAAACTGGCAACTCATTAGCCCTTTTAGTTGTAGTAAGTAAAAGGCTAATGCCAAGTGAAAATAAAAGTCAACAGAGTCTGATAATCTCAGTTTGCTGGGTTAGCTGAGAAGCCAAGAGAAGTTGATTTTTCAAAGCAAAAGATACTGATCGCAGAATAATATTCTATCACATTCATTTCAGACCTGTATAATTCATTTGATATAAGTGAAATAAACATGTTGACTTGGTGTGAGTGGAAGAGAAAATGGCACTGTGATCACTAGAGTGGTAGTCTGAAACTTACTGACGAGGCAGATACATCGTGAGCATCAAGCCCACCAGAAACACAGGTTTTTGTTTTCTTTTTAAACCAACAAATTTTAAACAGCTAAATATTAGCAAAATTAGGGGAATTTTAAAGGTCATCATAGATTTTGTGTGCTATAAACACACAAAAACTACTATATCTACTGATACAGTGGTTCCAAAAAGAAGAGGCATTCAAGGTTCTTACACCAGTTTTCTGAAAAGAGAGAAAAGGAGTTTCATTTCTTCAAACTACTACAGAAGAGTGACACCACAGTAAGAAAAGGGCAAAGAAATTAAAAAATGAAACATGAGAATGTAAACATGGACAAACCCTGCCACAATTCCAGGTACCAGTTCTCTTTTTAAATGTCACTTAATTTATTCCTACCAACCACAGTTTCTTTTATTTCTTTTTTTAGGAGGGTTGTGGTCAGCAAACAAAACATACATTTTTGTGATAAACGCTGTGGCTATGACACAAACTTACAGAAGTGGAATTGTTCTGTGATTCCTCATGAAATTTAGCCTAAGCATTGTTTTAAACTTTGTCCATCAACATATGATTGGTATTTTTTAATCTTATGCAAAAACTAATTGCACTCAGGGGAATATAGCCTCTTGCACTCTGCCATTGAGGTGAGGAGGTGGGTCACAACTGTTACAGCAGTAAAATAGCAAACTACGTGATCAAAGAATAACTGTAAATATCATAGGTATGAAGAAATTTTTGATAAGATAAAAACATAGTTATTAAAATGTTAACAGAACTGAAATATCGCAGCATCTTAAAGTAAAATCAAAATGAATACTTATAGCACTCAGTGTCTCAGGCTTTTAAAAATTAACAAACATGTCTTTGAAATATTCAGTAAAAATTAGAAATTAGCCCAGAGTTCCAAAACAAGAAGCAAAAGCTCGAGTGACAGAACATTTCTCTCTTTTAAAATTGCCCCCCAAAAGAACTGAATCCTGCTTTAGAAAAGCAGAGATAGTAAGTCCCTATGAATTAAATGCAACAAATTCCCAACACAAGCACCAGAGAAACTCTGTCATGATGATCAAGGTTGGTGCCAGATTATCTATGTGTCTTATAAAAAGCATTTAAGTTACAGTCACCAGATGCTGCTGCTGAAAAATGTTTTTTAAAAAGCACTAATTTCTCTTTGCTATGAGCAATGTGACTGGAGGGTCTGATTAGTGACACCCTACAGCTTTTAGAGCACTTGTTTTGAAACTCTTAAGAGTAGATTTAAGTTTTATAAATCAAGACATGCAGACCTTTAGAATTTTACAGTGTCCCTTTTACATATAAAAAAGAGCATACTTTCAAGAAGCCATTTGATTTCTTTTCAACGTTCATATTTTAACCAATCTATAATGTAGGTGCATTTTATACTTACCATCATTCATCATTCCTTTTGATTCTTTAAATGCTAAGAATTAGTAACAAGCCAAGCAGGCAGTTAGTAAGGTTCCACAATTAGAAATCATTTCTAAATAAATAAATATGCAGTAATATCATGCTAACTATTCCACAGCTATAAAGCCAAATTAATTTTAAGTCTATTACTTTATTACAGAAGCCTTCCTGTGGATCATACCCACAGACTCCACAAAGGAAATAAATTCAGTTGGGAACATAGATCTAGATTTAGGGAGAAAGAAAGTGAGATGCTTGGGTCTCACTCTGTGGTAACAGCCTGAATCTGAAACTTATAAATGAGAAACTGAAATTAATTGAGATTCTTCTCTCCTGGGGGTGTTATGCTTCATTGTGGCTAGTACAAGGCAATGGTCCCCTTGCTCAAATACTGCTTAGCCGGTGCAAGCAACTACTGGAGGGATACTGAACCGTGCATTTTTCTTAGAGGTAAGAACATTACAATAGCAATACTCTGAACAATCAAGAAAAGAGGGGTCAAGGCAAGGGACAAAACTAGATTTTTTGCAAGGCATAGATCATTCTAACTGCTTTGGGAGCCTGTTCAAATTATGATCTGGTAATGGATCAAAAAGAATATATAAGTTTGTAGTAACCACATACCATTAAGGGGCTCCTCTACAGCTTTCTGGAAAATATTTAAAATACATTTACATAAAATGGAACTTAGTTCATGTGCTCTTATACTAAAATTTATATATCCTAACATTTAAACTATAAAGAGTGAATCTTACAGTCTAAAAGCAAGGCAACAAAGATTAGAAAAACAAAACTTGCCAAGTTTACCTAATAGTTTAATAATAGCTGTATTAGTCTTAATATTTTTTCTATGCAGAAATTCCCATCCATTCTGCCTCTTTTAGTTCAAGAAATTCTAACTTCTCAAAAAAGTGCAAACATAAATAGCAACACAACAAATAAAAGAGTTAAGCAAGAGATGTGACCAAAACAGAATCATTTTCAAATCATGCAAAGTGAATTCAGTAACAAGGAAAGAAAATGTGTTAAGATTTAAGGGTTCAATGGTTGGATTATTTCCAACAGAGGCACTTTTAATACTGCTGGCTGTTGGTGACCACTGTAGCTATAGCACCAATCTTTTTAGGAAAAAAGACATGTCTGCTGAGGCTCGTCAGGACTCAGGAGTATATGTAATCTCCACTTCCTGCCAGACAGGAGTCTCCATTTTGGCATTCAGATAGAGCTACCATTATTCCTTTCTAGAAAGGTGACCTCTCCAGATCTTCTTCTTCTTCTTTTTTTTAAAGATTTTATTTATTTATTCATGAGAGACAGAGAAAGAGAGAGGCAGAGACACAGGCAGAGGGAGAAGCAGGCTCCATGGGAGGAGCCTGACGTGGGACTCAATCTGGGGTCTCCAGGATCAGGCCCTGGACTGAAGGCGGCACTAAACCGCTGAGCCACCGGGTCTGCCCAACCTCTCCAGATCTTCTTTCCAGAAAATAGTTCTTACGCCTGTCACATGACGAGTCTCTACACAGGTTTTTTTTCATGTGCTCATTCATCCATTTCAGTGTATCTCCTAAATTTGCTCCTTTTCTTGGAATTTTCTTAGATAGCTTATTAAGGAATCCAAGGCAGAGTGAAAACTATAGTACCGTTTGGAGGAAGAAAAATGCTTATAAAATGAGGGAAAAAGGAAAATAAATTATAATTCAGAACAGATATGTTTCAGTGAGATCTACATTCATTTTATAAATTATTTTCAATGAAATCAATTTCATATAAATCTCTCTCCCTCATTTTAAAGACTGAAATACCATTTTGTATATGCACATCAAATGGAGCCAACATGTGAGGCAGTATATTGCAATCCGCTTCCTTCAGCAGAGATAATAACCATTATTCTTACACATAAACTTTCCAGTTCTGAGAAAGTAAGAAGTCACTTGAGGTATCAGCACAATCTTAAGGAATCACAGATTCTATCCTACTGCAACTAAAATGACCAAACATACGTTTTAAAATAGAGTTGGAACTATTCATGCAAAGTCATGAAAGGACTTCTGTATTCTCTCAATCTGTGTTATGCCACTAAACAGAGAGCAAAAGGCTTCAATATCTCAATTACCATTCCTTACTCAAAACCATCAAGTGATCATTCCCAATTCATTTTAAGAAAGTTTAACTTACCCTAGGAGGTTGTATAGTCTTCTGATTGGAAGCTGATATAATTAAAAATTGAGAAAATGAACTGAATAAATTAAACAAATCAAGGCAATATAATGTTTCATTTCAATGACTATATAATGATTAATTTCAAATACTTATATGCACTGATAGAAAAAAATGATCAAATGATCCACCTACATAAAATAATAAACAGCTACATTCTCTCATTTGTATATGCTATATTTCCACCAAATCAGCCATCTGTTACGTTTCTTGGTGAAATATGTTATGTATTCACCCCTCACTGTGGACTCTACACCCCTCCCTATTCAGCCCAATCAGAATGTAAACAGAATGTGGCAATGACCAATCTCCACCCTACTCCGTTGTCTGTCCTTAGCTGACTGTTCTGGTTCCTTGCAGCCCAGGCTTTTCTTTTGCTTCCATCTTTCCAGTTTTCAAAGCTTCAAATAGCTAACACACTAAAGAAAATATTCAGATCCTTCTGAGTTTAATGAATTATTCTAAGCAGCTAGTTTTAGCCACAATCACCCTCTTCTCTATGTATTCCTTCTCAGCTTTCCAAGTTACCCTTGGCACTGCTTCTGAATGGACTGGTTAATGGAGATTAAGGAATGTAGGGCATGAAGAAAGTGGCAAAGGGAAAAAATAGTACTGTAGTTGCATAGAAAAAAGAGAGAACTTCCTTACAAAACCCAAGGGAGGTCCCAGAGCAGCTCAAGCCAGTCTTAAATACAGAATGAGTCCTACATACACAAAAGCATCAACCAGCAACATTGTGTGAGCCGGTTGGTAGGAGGGTGATGCTACAGGAGAGTCAATTATGCTGTCCTGTGGGTTGGAAGGAAGCCTCGGTTTGCTTGAGAGTAGACTCAGGCAAGCCCCCAGAACTGCTTGAGAGTAGACTCAGGCAAGCCCCCAGAACTGCTTGAGAGTAGACTCAGGCAAGCCCCCAGAACTGCTCTAGTGTTCTGTGTTCTTTACTTACTGTTTCTCCTCCCCATCCATCCCTATCAAGTTTCCAAAGCTGATGGGCAATGGGAATGAGATCCTACACAAGGGCAGCCAATGTACAAACTAGTCAGAAACTGACAGGCTCTCTCAAACAGAGACCATAGTGACTGACTAGCCTGCAAAGTTTCTCTCCCCTTCTGGAGCCTGAAGGGGAGAAACCAAAAGAAGACCAGGAAGTTGGTGATAGAAAGGTGACCAAGAGACAGCAAACTGGGAGAAAAGCTCAAGGCTCAAAGACAAAGGTAAGACAAACTATCAGTGAGAAGACAAGAATAAAATACAAGATGAGGGCATAAAGAGGAGGATAAGCTTGTAGGGGAAGAACCCGAGAGGAATTCAATAACCAGCAGATGGGCACTGAGTAAAACTCCTATTAGAGGCAAGAAGATGGCTCAGTTCTTAGGCATTGGACCCTTCTGATTCCCAAACTGCTTACTGTTCCAGCCCCCACGAGGCCTGGCTGTGTCCCAGCTCTCAGGAGAGTCCCACCTCTGTTAGTGTCATGTGTGGCTTTAAAGGAAATTTCCCTTCCTAGAAGCACTTGGGGAGTGGTATAGTCCTGGCAGCCAAACAAGGAAAGCACTTTTTAAAGTAGCATGGAATGGGGCACCTGGCTGGCTCAGTCAGTGTAGCTAGCATGTGATTCTTGATCTCAGAGCTGTGAGTTTGAGCCCCATGTTGGGTGTAGAGATGACTTAAAAAATAAATAAGGTCTTAAAAACATAAGTAGTATGGAGTGAAATGGTTTGGGAATATGGGTGGGTTACATTTAGCAGCCTCCCAAAGAAGCCAAGGAACTACATTTCTGTCTTAATAACATGTAAAAAGAATAGTTTCTGAGTTCCAATTCTTAGGTCCAAGGAACACCACAGTTTGGCTAGACCATTCTGAAAAAGAGCTCCAGAAAGAACAACGATTTAGAGGGATACCAATCAGCTGTGCTCCCTATAATAGTATAAAACCCAAAAGTGCACAAGTTAATTTCACTTGAGTTAATCTTCTTCCATATGGGCATATGATCTATGTGATAAAATAACTGGTTTATCTGCTGCTACCATGGGCCTAAGGCACCGACAACTACACATATATAGTTTAAAATATATATAAAATATATTACAAATATATATGTTAAATATGTTTTTATAATATATATTTGACAATCTAAATATATTTTATATATCTTATATAACATAAAAATATATTTTATATGCATAAAATATTTTATATATTATACAAATGTATGTTTATATATAATACACATTTTATACAATATATTTTATAGAACATATATTGCATGAAATATATATTTTATATAAAATATATATTATATAAAGTTATACCTATATACTTATTATACAAAGAATATTTATATAATATATATTTATTTATTTTTAAACCACAAGCCTTAAGGATTCCATATGAGATCCCTATAAAGTTTCATTTTGATTTTTACTCCCTGAAACATCTGACCACATTGCATCAATGTATTTCTAGGTTCTGAATTTTCAGGAATATTTTTCCTACCCATATCAGACTCACTTCTCCCTAACAATGGGCTACAAAATATCACTGAATTTTATATATACATTCCATGTCATTCTAAAATAACTAGGATGTTGTGATAAATATGGTTTCTGATTACTGGTAGGTTGATCTGTACAAAATATTTTATATGCACTTATCTTGAAGTGATAATGGCTTAAAAAAATGAACAAGTATTGACTTTTATAAATAATGGATATAAATGCCCCATACAAACAACAAGCCTAACACTAGTGAGTTAGTTAGTCCTATTTAATTTTCTGTATGATCTCACATTGTTACTGTTTCTAGCCCCCATTTTATTTTGCAAAACTTAAATGCTTCCAGTAACAAAATGAAATCCAACATGGTTTAAAAAGGCCACAGAAAATGAAATTTAAAATTTTACTTCTAAAGTAACGATTAAGGCTACAAATTTAAACTTGGAAATAATAAAAACAACAAAAGTTAAAATTCTCATAGGGCCATTAACTTACTCTTACAGAGATAGCTTGGATTTTAACAACAATGACAAAAAACCCCTCACAGAACGCCCTGAGGATTTTATTGCATTTAAATCAAGACACATTCATTAAGCTTCCAAAACAGAGATGAGTAAAATATATTTTGGAAACATTTACAATTTTTACCTCCTGATAAAAATGCTACAGTTTGCAACCTTAATGTTACATATACTCGTATTTACACATTCAGATTATCTAAGGAAAACACAACAATTTTCCCATTCTACCACATTATCTAAAGAGCAACTTTCCTGTACCTTTTCTCTTCTTGCCCTTCAACTGACCGAAGGTGTGCCTCTGAATTCTGGCATTAGACAAGTTGATTTCGAAAGTTAATTTAGAATATTCTCAAAATGTCAATACAACTGGACTAAATTATTTACTTACATGATATATTTACATGTTAAACCATGATAAATAAAAAATAATATTGAGAACTTTTCAGGATTTCACTTTCACTTTGATTTTTAAGGTGAAAACAGTATGTGTATAATTAAATTAGTTTCACAGGCTGCTCTGGGATGTAAACTATGGAGAAGAGAGAGTAAGGCCAAGGAGGTGGTACTTAGATGACCTATTTCCTATTTCCACCTGTGTCAGCACTCCAGACCCACTGGTAACTCTACTGAATATCATTCTTCAGACATGGAAGGCATGGGGGAACATGGGAATAAAAAGGGAGGATGATGCAGATAATGAGGAATATGAAGAACAAAGAGCTGACCATTAGTCAAAGATACCTCATACTACATCATGTTGCAGGTCACATGCTGTTCTCATGCATTTAGGGAGGAACATAACCAGCAGTGTCATCTTCAACTACACAAATACACAAATGGTGATCAGAATACTCAACAAAAATAGAAGATGTATCGGCATTCATAATGTGAGGCTTCTGACAGCTACCAAATGAACACCATTCTGCTGAGAAGTCTTCATTGTGTTTTCTGGACTTATATGAGTCACGAACTAAGAAAATTTCACTGAGGAATCGACTCTGACTTATGAACACGTGAACCAAAGATAGGGAGATTTAGTTAAGTATTTTAATGGTTTCTCTAATAAAAATTAACTAAATAGAGACAAAGAGTATGCAACGAAATTAGACTCATTGATCAGTCAGCCAAAGCTGCGGTTCAGAAACAAAGGTAAAATTTCTTTGAGAGTATTATGTAAGTCATATGGAAAACTGACTGTAACAACTCAAGGCTTATATTAATTTCTGGAAACACAGTAAAGTCCACCTAAAGCAGAAACTTGGGATTTTTTTTTACTCCATTATTTGGCAACTTTTGATTACTTTGCCAAATGTTTAAGAGCTTGCTTTACCTCTTAAATAAAAAACAAATTTTTCTAAAAGATACTAATGTAAACCGATTATAGGGAACATTTTTAGCTTAAGACAACATATGAAGTAAAAGCACCTACCGCTATATACAAAAAATTAGAACTTATAGAGAAATCTGTTATTTGAAAATTGGCAGATTAAATATGAAGTTCAGAAAAGATTAACTAATTTCACAGTTACTAACAATTGATTTTAAAAGTAGTAAAAACAGTATGGATGGCTCTAGAGTGTATAATGCTAAGTGAAGTCAGCTGAGAAAGACAGATACCATATGATTTCACTCATATGCAGAATTTAAGAAACAAAACCAACAAAGGAAAAAAAGAGACAAAAAACAAGATTCTTAAATGTAGTGAACAAACTGGTGGTTGCCAGAGGAGCTGGGTAATACAGGTGATAGGGATTAAATTAAAGAGTACACGCATCATAATGAGCACTGAGCAATGTACAGAATTGCTGAATCACTATATTGGTACATGTGAAACTAACATAACACTGTATGTTAACTATACTGGATTTTAAAAACAAATCAATAAATATATTTTTTAAAAGATAGGAAGAGCCTATATTTTAAAACTCCGTGTTTTTATTATATTAGTTATAACTAAAAATATTTGAAAGTCAAGTGAAAATCAGAGGACATTGTTCTTTAACAAAAGTCACAGATTTTGAATTTCAACCTGTCTACTTAGGGGAGTCAAGATCTGTAAACAGTCTGCAAGAACAGCAAGTAACAAATAGGTCTCTGTGAAAGAACTCTCTCATAGAACAAATGGAACAATTAAACATGTTTTTCTATTAAAATGAATCCTCAACATTCTCTCCTTTTAGTTAGTAGAAAAAAGTCCATACCTTCTAAAACAAAGCCATTTTCTTTTAAACTAGTTTATAATCTAAACTTTTCATTAATTCGTATTACTTTTACCCCCTTACATCACCACCAAATCACTCCAACTTTATTATAGTTTATTATTTAAAAAATACAGTTGCTGCATTCACAGTATTTTCTCATTTCTGGAAATACTGATAAACTTCTTTAGTCATAAATTTTAAGAGCCCATCAATAGAATTTTCCAAATTATGTATTTGAAATTCTTGGCACAGGCTAACAAAAATAAGATTGACTTACCAACAAGTTTCATATAAACTAATCCAAGTAATTCTGCTAGAGCTATAATACCCAAACCTGAAATCAGAAGAGGGCCATGCACTGGGGTGCACTCTGTAAAAACAAGTGAAATTTTATATTAGAAATCTGTAGGAAATAAGTAAACTTTTCAAAAGAATCAATGATAACAGTAGTAATATCAAATTTTAAGGAGAATAATTTTTTCTAATTATTAAGAAATAAAAGTTATCTACATATATTCATTATTAACTCAATCAGTGAAATTACTCCAAATTATTAGAAAAAAAAGTTTTCATTTGCATAACATGTACCTATCACATCAAGACTAATGCAAAATAGCATGTAAAGCCTACAGTTCCAACCAGTTGGAGCCTGGTTATTCAAAAAATTCTCCCATGAATTTAGGCAAAGCAGTTTGGCTGCTAGGATAATCAGTCCACATACAGCCATATACAGCCAATATTCTCATGGAAATATGGAAAGCACTATTCTCAGAGGGAAAAAAATGAGAGTTAAAAAAAGAAAAGCTCACAAAGCTTACAACACCAAATGCTGGCAAGATGCAGAGCAACAGGAACTCTCATTCACTGATGGTGGGAATGCAAAATGGCACAGCCACTTTGGAAGACAGTTTGGCAATTTGTTGCAAAACTAAATATATTCTTAACAATCCAGCAATCACACTACTTGGTATTTACTTAAATGAAGTTGAAAACTTATGTCCGCACAAAAAACATGCACATGGATGTTTATAGTAGCTTTATTCTTAATCATCGAAAACTGAAAGCAGCCAGGCTGTCCTTCAGTAGGTGAATGGATAAAAAGGAAGAAGGAGGAGGAGGAGGAGAACTCTGTCCTAGAGAAATTCCTAGTAAGATAAATTGGGACTAGAGAAGAATGTGACTCTTACCTGAGACACAGAGGCTTAGTCCAACCACAGAGAGCACATAGCCCAGTACCTGAAGGATTAATATGGCAATGGTGAAGGGAGACATCCAAACACCTGGAGGAAGAAAGAGTGAGTTGAGAGCATTTAAGAAGCAATCACACCCACTTGTATCCTGTGCAACCAAAAATTACATCCAGTGACTAAAGACTGACTCTGGATTTCTTTGTCAGATGGTAGATTCCTTCCCAATGATCTAAATTTCACCTTTTCACACAAGTAGTTAGTTTCAGATTCATACACCCAGCAGTCTTTTATATTCACAGTGAGCTCAGCTGGACTGGTGCTTTTCACCCAAAATCTTAGAACAGTGCTGCTTTTACCACACTTGTGCGTTTTACAGTATGAATGGCTATTATGCATGACTCTGCCACATGCACATAAAATTGTTCTGTTGGAGAGAACAGTGATACAAAATGTAAACATCACAATCTTTGTCTTGTATGTCTAGAGCTGTGATTTCATAACAAATTAATAACTTTCCAGTGTACATCAAGCCAGGGATAAGCTCTAAGACCAAGAGTTAAATCCACAAATAGAAAAAAAAATTGTGATAATGACAAAAATACATTAGTGATTGACTCCAAAAAAAAGCAGTAATGATTATATCAACTACAGGCTGGGTATCTGTATCATCTTTTAAAACTAAAATGCTAAGATCTGCCAGTAATTAAAAAAGATATACATTTCCACTATTTTAAATTGAAAACCTTATTTTGTAAAATTAGTTTTCTTTTGCCTATGTTTAATATCTATTTATAACTTGAAAAACTGAAATATAAATATGAAGATAATTAAGAAATTATATAACACAATTTGAAAAATCCACTGTTTAGCATCAAATATATATGAAAATTGCTTTCTACAAAATAACAGAATGCCTTGAAAACTGAAGCTCAACTTAAAATTAATCCACATGGGGAAAATGTCACTAAGAATAGCTTGGAAAATCTTTTAATAAGCCAACTTTTATTGAGTTGCCAAAAAAAATCATATAAGAACTATTGTTTTTTTGGTTGTTCTTAAAAAGGTGGGCAAACTCATGCTACAACAAATACTCACCTATCATAAACACACAGTACTGAAGTAATGTTAATATTACTGTAGGAATTACAATTAAACCAAGTCCACAAGAATTCTTTGTTGAATATTCACCTGTTAATAAAAATAATATTTAAAATATTAGCCTACATACTTCCTACTCTATAGGAAGTTAACGTACTTAAACTTATTGAATGTATTAGTCTCAATACTCCTCTTAAAAATTTGAAAAGGCTTAAAAATATATTTCCCCCACAGCTTCATATAAAAAATGACTATGTTTGGATTAAGACACTTGAGGCATCTAAATGCCAACATCTAAGTCTCAACATGTCAAATCCTTGAATTGGCTTTATCTCCTCAACTACCTTATAGAATTTCAGTGAGAAACTCTGGAGTCACCTCTTAGCATTCCCTTCACTTGCTATGTTCAATATGTCCCATAGTCAAAAATGTTGTTCTCTAAAGTTATCTTTAGAATTCATCTTCTTCTTCCCTGTGTCCTAACTCAAGAGGCAAAAGGAGTTGCCAAATTTATGTTCCTAAACATTACTCTATTATACTATCCTCTATTCAGCCCCAAAATAACAATGGCTCTCTCCAGTCTACACTGTAGGTCCCAGGCTATTTCTGCTGTCTTTTCATGTGCCACACACTTTCTCTCCACTCCCATCCCCATCCTCCAAATGCAAGCAGTTTCAGACAAACTTCCCACATTCATTCCCACTTCCATGTCTTGGCAAATGAAATCTGCCTCTGTAGTAGGTTGAATGATGGCCCTAAAGATAATGTCCACCTTCAAATCCCTGGAATCTGTGAATATTAACTTATATGGCAGAAGAGTATTACATTATATAGCAAAGGATGATTGAGTTAAGTAAGGATCCTGAAAGGAGGAGTTTATCCTGGATTATCCAGGTGGGCCCTAAATGCAATGACAATTGTCTTTGTAAGACAAAGGCAGAGGGAGATTTGACAAAGACACCATGGAGGAAGAAACTGGAATTATGGTGCCACAAGCCAAGGAGTTGCAGACTGCCAGCAAACGCCAGAAGCTAGAAGAGTCTAAAAATGGATTTCCTCCTAGAGCCTCAGGAGGGATTACAGCACTGATCACATCCTTACTTCAGATTTATGGCCTCCAGATCTGTGAGAAAATTTCTACTGTTTTAAGACACCCACTTAGTGGTAATGTGTTACAGCAGCCCTAGGAAACTAGCACACGCCCCCACCCCCACCAAGCCCTCATCTACATCAATCCTGTCTTCCTCATATATCTCTGTATCTTACCTGGGACGAAAAGAATGGCTCCGACAATGACAACTATAGTGAGCACTAGTCCACCAACAAATAAAAAAATGGTTTTCTCCTTCATAATACTGGATTTATATTTAATTGCTTAAAAAGAAAACAAAGAATTAAATGAACCCAATCGCAGAAAGTAAAGCCATTTCTGTAACTTATAAAGTGCACAAACTGATAACTTACTATAATTGAATAATCTTTGAGGAACAACTCCTTTATATGTCAAACCACCTCAAATCTTTCTCATAATAAGTCAAACTCTAAATATTATCATGTCAGTATAAATATGGATACTGAATTTAAAGGTAATGCTTTGTTCCCTTATACTTTAAGAAATAAAAATTATGTATATCAGGCTTTCTCAATTAAGGCCTTATAAACATTTTGGGCCAGATAACTGCTTGAGGGGTGGGATTGTTCTGTGCATTATACAATGTTTAGTAGTATCCCTGGCTTCTACTAACTATATGCCATTAACAGCTCCTCAGTGGTGTCAATCAAAAATGTCTCCAGACATTGCCAAATGTTCCCTGAGGGGCAAAACTGCCTCAGGTTTACAACTGACATATATATAACACTGATGAAAAATAACTGGCTACTTAGTAATATTGAGAAAAAGAGAACTTTATTTCATCTTATAGAAAATTAGGGAAGTGTATGGAATTCTAGGTAATTTTATTTTGAAGTAGAATAAACACTGGATAAATCATACCTTCTTGATATCCTGGCAGTAAAAAATGCTCAACTTGTTCAATTAAAATAATTTCATGAAATTAAACTATAAACAATAGCATTCATCATACATGTTACTGTTTTTGATGCTAGCTCTACTGACAAGTATCTGGTACCTTCCCTGAAAGAATAGAATAAGCTTAAAAATATTATAGTTGTTCCTTAAATAACATGGGCTAGGGGCACTGACCTCCTCTACCCTGAACAGCTAAAAATCTGAGTATAACTTTTGACTCCTCAAAAATTTTAGTAATAGCCACTGTTGACCAGAATTTTGTTTTACCAGTAACATAAAGTCAATTAACACATATTTTGTATGTTACATGTATTACATACTGTATTCTTATAATAAAGTAAGCTAGAGAATAGAAAATGTTATTAAGAAAACCGTAAGGAAGGGAAAATACATTTATAGTATTGATCCATAAAAAAGATCCATGTATAAGCAGACCCAGAGTTCAAACCCATGTTGTTCAAGGGTTAACTGTATTTCTTTTCCTATATATTTACCTTTTAGGTTTTGTTTTGGCTAATATTAAAATTAATTTTTCACCAGGAAATTTGACAAGAGTAACCTAAAAGCAGACTGAGTAGCAAACTGTATGACTGAAATTCTGCTGTGTTTCAGACAGATGATATTTTTCATGCCATTAACCAAGGAGTGTCCTGAGGGGAAGATTTTTTAAAATGTTATATTTAGCATTTAATTTGCCTCCATTAAAATGACAAACAGGTCAAATATACTAAAAAGAATAAATAAACCTCTAAATGACCATAATAAAATCTATGTATAAGGTATTAAAACCTAAGATCCATTATAACCTATGGTTAAGATATTAAAGTACAATGCAGGCACCTGAAGATTTTTTAAATCTCTACCTGTTTTAGGTTGCATTCATACTTTAGATTGTAACCTCAAATTTATTCTCTTTAGGGGCGGATGGAGGGTTAAGCAATAATCCGTCCTGAAGCTGAGTAATCGAATTCACATTCACCAGAAAAGAGTGAGAATCAATCTGGCAAGTTCCCCAAGCTTTCATTTGATCCATCCAGCCTTGAAACTTAGGGGACTAGACTCAGTCATGCTCCTAACTTATTATAAGGCACAGACTTTCACATCTTCCTTATTTTCTAGGCTCAAGCATGGTCTAGGATGCAATTCCACATGTAGTCACAAAAGGCACAAATACAGTTAAGGAAAAAAAGAAGCTTTCTCTAGACACGTGTCAGGTTTTCCATTTAATCCTATGCATACTGCTAACTAAATAGAACTTGAGAGTTCTGCAAAGAGGTCATAAAATAGGAGCTGTGTTTCAAATGTACTTCACAGTCAATCAAACATTTATAAGAAACTCTTCCAGGTTTAGTTCAACGTATAGAAGAGCTGCTAAGATCAAGCAGCAAGAATTCACCATAGAGTACAGTAGAAGTTCATGCAAAAAGGCAGACATATTACTCTTAACAAAAATCAGAGTGTGAATCTCATATAAAATTCCACCGTCACTCACCAGAACAGTCATCTTCTACCAAGGATGACCTGTACTGCACGTCATAATCATCCAAAGTCCCTGGTTTGTCTTAGGGTTCACTCTTGGTGCTGTACGCTCTTAGATTTGGACAAATGTGTAATAACATCCATCCATCATTATGATACCACACAGAGTATTTTCACTGCCCTAAAAATCCTGTGCTTTGCACCCCTGTCAACCACTGATCTTTTTATGGTCCCCACTGATGTGCTTTTTCCAAAGTGCCACATAGAGTCATACAGTATGTAGCCTTTCAGATTGACTTCTCTGACTAATATGTATATAAGGCTCCTCCATGTCTTTTCATGGCTTGACAGCTCATTTCTTGTCACTGCTCAATAATATTCCATTGTATCGATGTGCCACAGTTTGTTTATCCATTCACCTACTGTAGAGGAATAAAGCGGCTATAAGTATCTGTGTGTAGGTTTCTATGTGGATATAAGTTTTAAATTTCATTTGGATAAATACCAAGGAGCACAAGTGCCAGGTCATATGGTAAGAATATGTTTAGTTTTGTAAGAAGCTGCCAAGCTGTCTCCAGAGTAGCTGTACCATTTTGAATTCCCATTAGCAATGCATGACAGTTCCTGCTGTCCTGCATCCTCATCGGCATTTGGTGTTGTCAGTGTGTATATTTTTAACACAAACTTATAACCCTAGTCCCACCACAAAGGAATACCAAATATATGGGTAAACTATCACATTTCTGACAACAAATTAGGAATTCTAAAATTTTCCTCTTTTACATCTTCTGTAACTATATAGCAAGCTACTTCTCAGAAATGAGCTAGATTGATTAATTCATTTGTTTTAGAAATATTTACCATGTACCTACAATGTAGCAAGCCCTTTTCTTAGCCCAAATCATGCCAACTGAATCAAGGTAAAAGTAGAAGATTATGCAATGATAACTGATTGTGCACCTATGTGCATATTACCTATGTGATAATCACTATTCTAAATGCTGGCACTGAACAAAAAAAACTAAATACTCCTGCCTTAAGGCCCTTATACCTTACATTTCAGTGTGTGTGTGCATGTGTGTGTGCATGTGTGTGTGCGTGTGCATGTGTTGGGAGGAAGCAGCAGGAGTGAGGATGGAATGTTACTCCTTTATCTTCTTTCCCAATTCAATAAATAAAAGGTATGGGTCTACTCTAGACTAAAAAAAGCCCCAAATTAATGTTAATAAAAAATGACATGTTCCTCTAGCCACCTGACGCAACAGCTAATGTTATGAATATATACTCCATTTAAGTTTTCCTGTCTCCTTGTGACTGCTATAAAGGACATATAACACAAAACGTAGGTTGTGGTTGATAAAATCTAGTGCAATTACCATATCAACCTAGAGATCAAATAAAATCTACCATCTTAGTTTTCATGATACTCCAAAGATGGGATTCAATACGCCCATATAGGTCTAAGCAGACCTCAATCTATCCAATCAACAAAACCTAAAAATCTAGGAATTCAATATCTGCTTACAGACATGACATTTAGATGGTCCCTTACTGAGTGATTAGTGAGTCAGATAAAAAGGCTAACCAGTAAAGGGTAATGCATACCAGATTAAGAATAAATCATGAAGGGAGACATGTTTGATTTCATTATTACAGTGCTATTTTCTGCCATCTCCAGGAGAGTAATTGTAGGATATTTTTGGTATCTGTTAAGTTGCAAATCGATATTATCTTTGAATCAGGATAAAACACATCTGATTGCTTTTAAATGAAATTACAATTTCAAAATTTTTAATTTAAATTTAAACTTAAATTACTATTTTATAAATGTTTAACATACTCATTTAAAAAATAAGGCTGTGAATCTGGTGCTGGAGAAAAAGAAATATTAATGCCAATTATAAACTGATTACTGCCAAAAGGCAAGTAAATGAATCTTACAATAAACTCCATATACTATCCAACTGGCTTTAATGAAACAATTTTGTAAACATGAATACCGACACATTCCTGATCTATAGGAACCAGAAATAAAAAATGTCCAGCCACTGTGCAGTAAGTACTTTGAATACAAAAGATTAAAGAAGATGTCCAACATGCTAACTCCCTTTCCTTGGTTCCAAATGTTCCCTGGTCCTGTGGATGGTGCCGTAACTTTAGAACGTATGTAGTAAGTTGGGACGTTTGAATTTGGAAAGGATCAAAGGAATAACAACTACATTTCTACAAGATTTACACTGCTGAGCTGCAGTTTTGTTCAGTTCCTCCTACAACAAAACCAGGGCATAAAAACATTTAATAACAGAACTGTGATAATTATGTGGAGAGGACTACTGGAAGTTCAAGATTATTGAACAGAATTGAGTAAACTTAATAACAAAGTCCTATTAATAGAATCCATCAACCAGGTCACAGAATGATTCTTTGTAATACTATTTATTGTGATGGTATTTTTACCTTCCTGGACAGAAGTTTTCTAGTGCAAGTTAGTGTATGTCCTCACTTCTTCAAAACGATTTTTCTAATCTACAAAGAAATTCTCTGTTCCGTTACATTCTTTTTATGCATGCTCATGACCTAATTACTTTCAGTATTAATAAGCTAGTCCTAAAAATTGGATTCAAGGACTTAGTAGGATCTCAAAGCTGTTTAGAGGATTTTTTTTTCCTTGAACTTCCCAATAATGATTTCTACAGGAACATATCACCAAATACTTCTGAGCAGTAACCAAAATCTTTGTGGAATAATCTTGAGCAAGGATTAGAAAAGTTAGAGAAGGACACAAGGATGCCTAGAATGCATGAATCTGAAATAAATTAACAGCAGTCCTCACTTGGCCCACTTCCGATAATCATGAATTTCAGTTACCATGGTGTAAATAACACAAATGTCCCCAAATCACAGTACAAATTTCAGCCATCACAACATATTAACTGAGTACTTGCATGAGGTGCAAACTTCACTGCCATCTCTTCAGTCCATAAATCACCCTGTTAATATCAGATGCATATCATGATCAATGACCAATCATGGCACTTCTTTCAAAGACTGTTGGTGACTACTCACTGAATATGTGTTACTCAGTTCATGCACAGACAGCAAAGCATGTGTTGTGTAACTTCCTTGTCTCCCAGTAACAAATCAATGTGGTATTTTATAATGGATTATCAAAGGAGGAAATTGGGCAGCAAGGAAGAAAGAATAAAGAAATAGAAAGGAATAATGTTGGAAGAAGGATTCAAATAGAACGTAAATGATATCACACAATAGCTGAATGTGGGAATGTCAACATTACTGCCATTCAAGAGACTCTAAATAGTCAGAGAAACTCGTAAAAGCGAACTTGTTGACATAAATGAGGACAGTGAGTAGGTTGTGACAAAAGGAATGCAGATGTCCCAGAAGTGGTGACTCTGGCAAAAAAAAAAACTTTACATACAAGAAATTCTTGGAGATATTGTATAACACTATAAATGCAAAGGATAAAATGCTGGAATCTGATCCAAACTTAAAAAGGAGTATGACAATTCACTGAGGCATAAAAAAAGATGCTTGCTCTGTATTCAAAGTTATATAACGAGGAACGCAAGCACTGTTCAAACTACTCTTGATGAAACATTTTAATTCTCAGTGTTTTTAATGTTTCAATTTACAATGTATTAAATATTTTTACTTTTTTTCCATTTCCTAGTAGTGTTATTACTAACAGTAAGAGAGTTTTTGTCTTAACAAAAATTTTAAAGGGCATGGAGCAACAGTCATGTTTTGCATTTATTTTAGATTGCTCTTGCAGAGCTTCAGCTTACATGATCATGTTTATGGTCTCATAGTTTTGCGTAAAGACAAGTTCAAAGGAAGGAATGGTAAAATTGATATGCCTAACTCAAAGAATTTCAGAATGTTGTAAGTCCCTGGGATGGAACTGAATCTTCACCCAAATGGAACCAGAGATCTTGGTGGGCAACACTTGAAATCACTTATCAAGCATCTTAATGATAGAAATGACCTGGTATACTGCCAAAGACCAAAGAAGAAGAGCCCTGGAAATCAGCTAGGAACTTAACTGCCATTGACATGGGCAACGGGGAGTTGGTATAGTTTTCAGAACAAAAACAAAGTGCCCCTGAAACGTAATACTACTAGAGATTTGTGACTTTAGTTAAGACTCAGTGTTTGATTCTAGTTATCTCCGAGCGGTTTGCTAAGCATTAAGATTCTGCTTAAAAGTTTGTAAGTTACAGATAAAGGCAAAGGTATTTAGGAACATTTCCCTGTAAGAAACCTTTGTCTTCAAAACATAGTCTAGGGCTCACCAAGTCCTGGCTTGGCTTCAGGAATTTAAAAGTCTTCTCAGGCTTCTTCCTCAGTAGGATCAATGGCATCCCGAAATACAGTTCAAGACACATTTCTGGTAGAAAGTAATTCTTTCTCCTAAAAATGAAGGCATAACCTGTTCTTTACCACACATTTAGCCTATGGAAAGTCCAAGTTGAATCCTGGACCACCAAAAGATTTACATGCAGAATCAGAGAAACCACTAAGGGAAATTTCCTTTTGTAAATTATAGACCATAAATGGTAATCTGAAATAGTTAAGGACAACTAGAAATCTAGAAAGTGAAAGTCATTGGTATGAGTTAGTATAAATAACTCAGGGGCTACACGACACCACACTCTAAAAAAACACATAACTGAGCAGCAAATGGAAAACAGAGGGGCTTTCCTGTTTGGTGGAATCCCCAGGCCATACACAGGAGTCCTCATAGAAAGGGTACCAAAAAAAAAAGTGGGGGGTAGAATTATATCCATGACTCCCAAAAATGGGACAAAAGGCATATAATATGCACACTTAACATGTCTCAACTGAAATGTGAGTGCTACAAAGCCAGGGACGATATGCATTTCACTTCCACATCTCGAGCCTATAAGCTGGTGCCTAACAACTACTAGGCATCCTGTCAACAGATGAATAAATTAAACAAAGTAGGTCTACATTCTGCTCTGTCAATAACAGTTTCATTTACCCAGATATAGGTTCACTCAAAAGAAGTTCAAGACAGGGAGGTAGTATAGTGTAGTGGTAAAAACCACTGTTTCAAATCCTAGTAGTACTAGAGAGGATCTGGGCGATTGTGGGCAAACTGTCTAAACTACCTGTACCTCAGTTTTTTATCTACAAAACAGGAATGGTAACAATGGCACCTATCCCCACTGAGTTCCTGCGAGATGTAAATGTGACTGCAGATGCTAGTGCTTTCCAACATCTATCATACGTAGCAAGGGTTCCACAAATACTTAGGTACTCTTATCAAAAACACTTTTACATGTGAGTCCAGACCAGGTGAATCAAGTATAAGGCCCTCTTCCACATCCACCTCCCACATTTACTTGTTTTAAGGAAAGCCTACATAAAAAATTGCCACCAAAATATTTTTTAGCTTCATAACCATGTTCTTTAAAATATTATCAGTGAAATAAATATTTAAAAAGAGCATTCAACCTAACATAACTGAAAATTAAAACAAGATTTTTTTTCACCCATCAAATTATTAGCAAAGATTTTAGAATTATGGCAGGATTATGAGGTGAAAAACAGATATTCTCATCTGCAGTAACTGATACAAAGTTTTGAGAAAACATTTTGGCAGTATGTATCAAGAGCCTTAAAATATCTCTACCATTTCCAGTCTGTCTTACATATCTTTAACAGAATTCCATAGTATCAAAAAAAAATTGGAAACATTCTTAATATCCATCAAGATGAGAATTGAGTAAATTAGAGTGCATCTATAAAAGTGGAGCACAGGCAACTATAAAAAGATTTCTGAAAACAAGGAGGGAAATCAGGATATAAGTATGTAAGTTATAGGAGTCCATTTATGGTTTTCTTTTTTAAAGGAAGATAACAAAAAAATGCACAGAAAAAAGAAAGTGAAGGAGGAAATTCACTAGAATACATTATTTCTAGGTTGCAGGACTTCAGATTTTTGTTTTTTCTCTATAATTTCCTATATTGTATATGGGTTTCTAAAGCATATTTATTATTTTTTAAGTCAGAAAAAAAACTGTAAAGCCTATTTTGTAAAAATATGGCTGATAGTGAACAGATTGACTCCTGGTTCAGTCAATAAAAATAATGTCACTAATGATAATGCCATGATCAGCAAACTTCAACCACTTCCATGCAACAAATCACGCTACTGTGAAATAATTTCATAATCCTAAAAAAAAAAAGCTATTCTCTACCTCAATCATATGACATAGGCCTAAGTCTGCCAATAAAGATTAAGGCTTTCCCTAACATCAGGAAAGCCTGAATAGGTCTTGATGCTCTATCAGTCTTTTTCGTGATATAAAAGGCTTACCAAAATTCTAAGAAAATTTCCACAAGAAGTCTAGACACTTTTTTGAAAATAAAAGTTGTGAAATATCTTGACAGTTGTCACTGTTAGCCCTTTTTTCCCTTTCTTTGCTTTTAGACAAAAGTTGAGAACACCTTTGAAATCACAAAGCATTTTTCAGAGTGCCATACATTGAGAAGAGCCCACAGAATACATAATCGGTCATCTCTCTTCCATTTTCATATCACTTTAGATTTCTGAGTAAAAGTAAAACTCATGAAATATACAATAGACCAATCCACTACAACATTTTACTAGCTTTCACTTTTTTTAAAGGTTGCAGAATGAAATAAATGAGACTACTATTATTCATACCTTGCCTTGTATAAATGCTAACTGGCCTTCAATGACTGACCATTTCATTGTACAATAGATAAAGAATAAATCTTACATGTTAAAAGTTTAAATATTTAGACTGTCACCTCAGAACTTCGCCAATTTAGTAAATTTCTGTTACCAATCTGGTAGGGAAATAAAGTATAAGTATCAACCAGAATACGTAATACCTTTTCACCTACGAGTGACAACTCCACATCGTAGATGCTAAATCTGAAATAGCACCAAGATTTACGCTGAGAAGTTCAGTCACATGATTATTATAGCAAAACATGATCAAAAACCACAATTCACCTGTGGCTACTTCCTTAGAGGCTGCAGACTCCTAGTGAAGATGACGAAACACAGTTCAAATGAGGCTTTTCCTAAAATGAACACATGTACATAGACAAGTGCCAACTGGGAAAATAAAGAGACAGAAGTCTTAATGCTCAAAAGTGCAATATCCTACCCTAATACTAATGTAGGGCTATGATCATCTCTTGGCCAAAATAATGTGTGTGTGTAAATGCTCTGAAAACACCATACATGAGTTTAAGGTATTGTTATTATTAGGATTCCCACTATTCATTCTTAAGAAGTTAAAAAAAAAAAAGCGTAGGAATTAAAAGTAAACTGCAGCAAACTGTGGGGGACAATAAACACTTCAAGAAGAATACTGAGACTGTATATTATTATTTATCACATTATCACACTTCCTAATACAACTTACATAAAACATTTCACTAATATTACCTCCCAGAAATAACCTTTTCATCATTAAAACATAAATGAAAAATAGAAATACTTACTCACAATACCGAACTGTCCCCAAGACAGAAGTACAGCCAAAATTGGGAAAATAACAATGAGGATATTTTCATTTGGAGAAAACCATGAAACTGGGAAGAGAACAAAAATCACAATTAATATTTACTATAATCATGTTAAGTCCTGCCACTGAATAGTCAACAATATACTTTTATTGTGAAGATAGAAAATAAAAATAATTTATTAAAGCTGTGGCCTTAAAATAATTACAAATTACACAGTTTACTTACACAACAAATTCTATTTATGAAACAAGAAGCTAGTTTGTTTTTTCCACATTTTTCCTAACCTATGATTTATGGAAGCAAACAGTATGGCAGAGGGGCTGAGAACAGGGCTCTGCAGCCACACGGCCTGGCTGGATACCTAACTCTACGTTATAAGCTTTCTGAGATTGGACGAAGTGTTAACACTTCTCTGTTTTCAGTGATCTCAACTGTTACACCAATTCAACATAGTTCCTATGCCTTGAAGGACTGTTGTGACTATTAATGAGCTACTACATGAAAAGAGCTTAAAACAAAGCTTGGCTCTGTACCACGTACTCAGTCAACCTTCACTACAATGATTATAACCTTTGGTATTAAGGAAACTCCTGTTAAGTGAGTCACATGTTACCTAGTGAAAACAGCCACACGGTCTACATGACGGAAACTGTGACATTAAGACTTCACATAATTTGAGAAATTTTAAAAACTTAAGTTTCACTACATCTTAAGGCACTGATTTTATCTATGAAATTTCTTAACAATAAAGCCAAATAAATGCACCAAAGACATTTCAAAGTTTGCCTGTATGAAGGGCATTTGCTTTTGAAAAACATTCCTAAACACTGCCCAGAGCAAGCGTTCCTCTGAAATCAACCCTATTCATTCAAATCCTCTCCAACTCTGCCATTCCGTATCAGCATGTGGAGAACCTTGTGGGCTTTCATACCACAATGATGCATTTCTTGTATTAACTTTATGCTAAAACCTGGTCAACGTTCACAATAATATAACAACAGAATATAACTACATTATAAATTCTGTCTTAGAGATACCGGCTTTTCAGAATCCAGCATTTTGTCCTGTACACAGCAGAGACTCAATAGGATTGCTGTTGAAGGTTCTAATGGTCATGAGACAGTTCAGTGAATGAATGGAAGACGGTTTCATTTTTTGCAGATCTCTACCAAGAGACAGATTTTTCAGATACTCTGAATCAATACCTTAATTTCCAACTGTATTACCGAGTATCTTCCTGCGCCAAAGAAAACCTATTTTAATTTGGCCTCAAATCCTACCAGGGAAAAATTTTGCAAATAATGCTTAGGTTTTCATATCTAATGCCCAAAGGATTTGATAAAAGCTCTATGATCTAATGACTAGTCCTAATCAATTTATTTTCTCTATCCACTTTCTCTATTATTTTGTTTTGTCTACATTAACTCCTCAAATTCTCGCAATTATTATATGAGGAATTATTAACTCCTCCTTAATGCTGAGGAAACAGAGGCACAGTGAACCAAGGATCTCAGGTATCTTAAGTTTTCATGTCCCAATCAGACTTCTGATACCCCTCCACCTACTCCTCCACCAAATTTCCCCTCTCGGGTTTCTTAATTTTGGTAGTGCTGAATTTTCCAATTATTCAGACCAAAAACCTTAGAGTCATCCTTGACTCTTTGGTCTCTCACACCCCATGCCCAGTCTCAAAGCAAATATTGTGGGCTCTACATTCAAAATGTAGCCATTATCTGATCTACATGATCAGTAGATGTTTAAGATGAGCTGACAATGAAATGTTCTTTCACTGACCTCTCTTCCTATGCACCAAAACAATCTCAGGATATATTGGTTGAAACCTATTAAAATGAAGTGTGCTTGACCATGGTCTGACCACTCATTTTTCACTTCACAAATACTTATTGAAATCACACCATGGATAGGGTATTCTAGATACTTAAGGTCTGAGACAGTGAACATGGTAGGTGGGGCCATGGGTTCGAACAGGGGAGGAATTGAAGGTCAGATTTTTGTGGGTAGTAAGGAGAGGTCTCTGGGGTGTGAAACTGGATCTGAGCCACATGAAGACAGGGAAGAAGAGATACCAAAGGAATAGTTCAAGCAACTAAATGGTGGCCACTGTGGCTAGAATTTAGTGATATAAGAAGAGATGGGAAGAATCTTGCTAGGGCAAGATCATGCTGGGTCTTAATAGCTTGTTATGAGAGTTTGGATTTTATCGTAAAAGCAATGGTAAGTGATTGGGAAGCTCCAAACAGGAGAAAAATGACCATGATTCATCTAAAATCTTTGCCAGCCAGGTGGAGAATGGAATACAGAAGCAGGATTCATCAGAAAGTTGCTGCAGCAATCGGGTAGTAGCAGGAAGGTAGGATGCAATCCACAAAGCCTTGAGTATAGTGTTACTCATCACATTTAAAGACATAACAGGGCATTGTTCCAAAGAAGGTGACTAGAATGGGAATCCTGAAACCATAAGCAATGGCTGAAAGAACTGGGGATTTCAACTTTATAGAATAAGCAGCTTGGGAGAGAAATAGCACAGCTCTCCTCGTGAGAGAGCAACTACAGGTCTGCAAATTCTAGCCTGACTTCAGTTAGAACTGGAACTGCCTACTAATAGACCAAGATCCATTGGGTAGAGAGTTTCCCCATATCAAGCGTTCAGGTAAAAAAAAGTCTGAATAACTTCCTGGGGCATGATAGAAGTAATTCATGAATTACTAAACCATGAGAGAGACTAAATGCCTACTGGAGGACTCCAAACCTCTCTGTGGAAATAATAAGTGTGAGAGACATTTCCATGACATGCAAAGGGTGGGATTATAGAGCAAAAAGTACTATGGCCTAAGTGATTCTTAACTGAAACTTATCAGAAGGTTTAGTCAAACTTGAAACACTCTCTCCTCTCAGCCCCCACCCTGAGATTTTAATAAATTCTCCATGGTGAGTGTGTGTGTGTGTGTGTGTGTGTGTGTGCGTGCGCATGTGTATGTGCATGCATGGACGGAGTGTTCAGTCATTCTTTCAGTTCAATATCACTGGTGTACACCTCTGGCATCGTTTATTTCCTTTCACTGCCATGAATGTGCTCCTTCTCCCTAATTTGTTAAGGTGGAGAGTCTGAGGATCACCAAACTGGATATTCAAGAACCAAATGAGATGCTAGGAGAAAAAAAGGGATGTTTAAATAAAACCACTTATATGCCCATTAAGATATTGATTTGTTTTGGTACTATTGTCAGATGACTTTAACTCTTGTTCCTCAAAGTGAGAAAGGAGCCAAGATACTTCTCTGAGGTCCTTCTCAATTATGAATGTTTATGGCACTAAGAAAATAAACTTAAAATGAACTAAGAACAATATCAGATATTTTTCCACCTTAGGATTAAGAAAGATAATCCAAAGGCAATGCTCTTCCATTGAAGCTGTGGCTGACAACTCTTCCCATTACTCTTCCCCAATTCCTGTTCAGGTAGCGTGGGTCTCAGGAAGATGAACTCATTAGTGGAAAAGCAAAGAAATGATATTAAGAGGGTATGGTCTATGAATGAGTGTTTAAATTTTGTTTCCTAGACTAAGTAAAAACCCAGTACTTCATTTCCTTTATCACTATGTACAAAATGGGATAATTGGAAAAAGTGAAAAGATCACTCTAATCCATATAAGTGTGCCTTTCCTTCAGATAGACATGTGGTAAACCTTCACAAACACCAGTTTCCATAAAAGAAGATCACAATAAAATATACAACACTAAAATTCGAGCCAAAATTTTACTTGATATTTCAGGATTGTGATGATTTTTTTGATGTGTTGATTTGGCTCAGCTATAGTCCCTGGTTACTTAAACAACCCAAAATTCTAAGGTGGTTTCCCAAATCCCTGCTCCCTGCAATCAGCCTTTTGTAATTTCCTCCCCTTGAAGAAAGCATGGGATAGTGAACATGATGGATTTCATTCCCATGATTACTTTGTGTCATATGTCAAATGGGATTTTGATGATGTGATGAAGATGCCCAATCTGTTGGCTTTACAAAAGAGCAACTGCCTTTGGGAGAGAGGGGGAATCTAATCAAATGACCTTAAAAGGGTCTGTGCTATTCCTGGAAAAGAACATGTGAAAGGGATTCTACAAGAGGATGGATCTTCTCTGCTGGTGATACATATGGAAGAGGCCGTGTGGCAAGGAATGAGGCCACCTCCAGGAACTGAGAGAAGCCTCTAGAGGACATCCAGCAAAGAAACAGAGATCTTGGGATGCCTGCGTGGCTCAATGGTTGAGCAGCTGCCTTCAGCTCAGGGCGTGGTCCTGGGGTCCCAGGATCGAGTCTCACATCAGGCTCCCTGCATGGAGCCTGCTTCTCCCTCTGCCCATGTCTCTGCCTCTCTCTCTGTGTCTCTCATGAATTAATAAATAAAATCTTAAAAACAACAACAATAACAACAACAACACAGAGACCTCTGTCCTATAATCACAAGGAACTAAATTCTGCCACAATCATGTGAACTTAGAACAGGACCCTGAACTCCATATGAGAGTCTAAGCCAACACCTTGATTTTAGCCTCGTTAAGACTTGTGTGGGGAACCTAGTTACACCATGACCAGAACTGTGGTCTACAAAACTGTGAGCTCCTAAGTGGGTGCTGTTTGTTACACAGCACTAGAAAACTAATACAAGGATCTTGCAATGCTCTCATGTCAACATTATGAGCATAATGTATATCTGTTGATGGATGATGGAAATGGCAACCCTACTGAACTTGAACTTACCTTTTTTTTAATAATTTTTTTTAAATTTTTATTTATTTATGATTGTCACAGAGAGAGAGAGAGAGAGAGAGAGAGAGAGAGGCGCAGAGACATAGGCAGAGGGAGAAGCAGGCTCCATGCACCGGGAGCCCGATGTGGGATTCGATCCTGGGTCTCCAGGATCGAGCCCTGGGCCAAAGGCAGGCGCCAAACCGCTGCGCCACCCAGGGATCCCTGAACTTACCTTTTTAAACAAAACCTTAATAACTTACTTGGAGAAATGTAAGATTTTAAGCCTCCAAGTTTGTATATTATTAATATAGATATCAATAACAAATTTTTAGAACTATTATTTACATTTAGTATTTTATTATTTACAAGGTGTTTTCAAAGAAACCATAACTGAGGTGGTAAAAATCTTGGGTTTTGAAGACAGATCTAGGTTAAAATCCTGGCTGTGACTCAAGCCTTGAACAAGTACTTTAAATCTCATCTTTTTGCTCATCTGTCAAATGGTAAGACCTATATATACCTCCTAGAATTCTTGACAAGATCACATGACACACATATGTGGTATGTGCTCAAATAAATATTAGGTTATTTTATTGCTCTTATTTATATTGTTATCATTTCCTTCAAGTAGGGTCATATCTTAGTTATCACTGAATCCATAGTGTCTCGTACAGTGTCTGGCACATGGTAGGTACTCAATGAACCTTTTTAAGAAAGAGAGATATTAATTTATATACATCCCAAACAATTCTGTCATGGAGATGGTATCTTCATTTTACAGATAAAAAACTGAGGACCAGATAGGCTGTTTCTCAACCAAGTTTTCTTAAACTAGAAAATGGTGAAATATAGGAAAAGCTTTCTAAATTCACGTCCTGTGCTCCTTCCATGGTATGATACCAGAGGTATATAAAACTCTAATTCATATATGATGTTTCCATATATTCAGTCCTAGTGTTCGAAAAAAGGAACACAAATGGTCACCATTACTCCATATTCCACCAAGTAGATTCTCTATGAAATACTTTCTATTCCTTCTTTATGCCTACATTTGCAAAAAAGCACAATATAGTAAAAATGGATTCTATTGCCTAAGTCCCCAAAGTCCATATGATGGGTAAGTATCTCTGTTTTCTACAGTAAGAGTCCTGCCTCAAATTAACATTTTTGAGCAGAGGAGGTTTATTTCTTCTTCTAGTCAAAAATGGGTATAAAATAGAGACAACACCAGATGCTGGCAAAGATGTGGGGAAACTAGATCGTTCATATGCTGCTGATAAGAATGTAAAATGAAAAAACCACTCTGGAAAACAGTTTGGCAGTTTCTTTAAAAACTAAGTGTATACTTACATATAACCCAGTAATCGTACTTCTGGGCATTTATCCAGAGAAATGAAGAAGACTATGTCCACATAGAAACCTGTACACGATTGTTCACAGCAGCTTCATTTGTAATAGCCAAAAGCTGGAAACAACCAAAATGTCCTACAATAGGTGAATGGTTAAACAAGCTGTGATATACCCATACCATGGAATACTACTACTTAGTCAAAAGAGAGAGACAGAGAGAAAGAGAGAGGGAGAAAGAGAATGAACTATTGATACACACAACTTGGATAGTTTTCAAGGGCACTGTGCTGAGTGAAAAAAGCCAATCTCAAGATACTGTATGATTCCACTTCTACAACATTGTTGAAATGACAAAATCACAGCTACAGAGAACACATTAATGTTTGCCAGGTCAGGGGTAGTTGGGGGGAAGTGACTATCAAGAGGCTGCACAAGGGAGATCTTTGTGTCAATGGAGTAGTAGTTCTGTATCTTGACAGTGGGGCTACTTACTTAAATATACACATGTGATAAATGACAAAAAAATATACACACATCGTACCACTGTGAATCTGCTAGTTTTGATATTTTACTACAGCTACATAAGAAATCATCATTGGGGGAAACTGGGCAAAGAGTAGACAGCACCTTTCTGTTCTATCTTTGTAATTTTCTATGAATCTTCAATTATTTCAAATAAAACTCAGTACAAGGCCCAACGTCTGAGACTTCTGGTAGAGTTTTCTACATTCTCTGCAACAAAACAATACCTTCTCATTTTAATGGCCCGAAAGGTAAGCACACCTCATTTTTTCATAGGGTACTTTGAAAATAAACCAAAAACAAGATAAAATAATCACACTTTTATAAAATTATAAGCTTCATCTTACATATTGGTATTTCTTTCCTATCTTCATTCCATCATCTAGCTTTTCAAATTTCATATCTAGAGTTTAGTAGTCTGCCTCTCAGTGACTGACACTACACTCCAAAATTACTGCTTCCCGTCTTATTTCTTCGATCTCATGAAAGTATTCCTTCAGAAAAATTTCAGCTAGGTATTAGATTATCTAATTCCAGCCACTCACAGTGTTTGAATGATTAGACCCTGCTGAAAGGTATATGTTTTTTTAAAAAGCTCCTTAGAAAAAAAAATAATAAAAAAAATAAATAAAAAACTCCTTAGTCCAAATTAATATCAAATTAATAAAAGTTACAATATAAGAGGTTCCTAAGCAGAAACACCTCCCAAATTCTGCTAGCTAGCTCTAAGCTACCTCCTGCCATTCGTCATTGCACAAAAATCCCTCTCACAATATCCCAGGCAAGCTTCAACAACTTGATATCTTACTTTATAAAATAAACATCCCAGGAACACAACTAATATCTGCAAAGCATTTTTGTTTACATAGAACTTACAAGAAAACTCAGTTGATGCTCATTACATTGTAGAACACATAAGAGCAGGTATCTATTTTCATCCCCTTCCCAGAGATAAGGTAATTTGAACTCAGAAAAGAAACTTCTCAAGATCATATAGGCAAATAATTAAATTGCAGAATAGGGGATAGAATTCAGATCTCCTGATTCCTAATCCTAAACCATGTCAAAATATTCCATCAAACTAAACAGCCCATCTCAATCTAGTAACAGACATTTTATAACTATGAACACTAGAACAATAGAGGGCAAAGAGTTGATCCAATTGAATTGTTCTGGTCCCATCTAAAGCAGAGGTTCTCAATGTATGGTCTAATCCTAAAATCATGTCTAGTGATTGTAAACAAATATTTCAAAACAGAGAGTCATAATGCACTTGTATGTGGTTTAAGAAATCAGCTGGCACAGAAAGAATAGAAAAGAAAGCAGGCTGTTTACTTCAGCTAACTATTGCTTTATACAACTCACCAAGCCAAGTTTGTGAAGAAAGGGCAGGCTCATGGTGCTATAATCAAGGCTGAATTCAAATACACTGAATTGGAACTCTAGTTCTTCTGAATCTTAGCCAATGAAAAAAAAAAAACACCAAAACAAAGCTAAGCATAGGAAACCTCAAGGACTCATCCATGATAATCTGGTTTTTCAATCTCCTGATTCTTCTATTCTATTCTTTGCAAAGGGGACATGTCTGGGACTTGTCAACCCTTGATCAAAGTAAAAGGTTTTTTAAAAAGGCCAAATAATAGGTAAGAGGCTGGAAAATAAATCACATGAAAGAAAGTACTTCAATGACCTCAAGGCTGCTCACCCCAACAGAATAGTTCTTCGACTAAAAGTTTGAGAACCACACAATATACAAATTAACAACAAAAATTTTACTCTGGAAGATAGAAGGCAAATACAGTAAACCTCATGATCTTAAAGGTGCTAAACATCACATCAACATTTATTATTAATAGCCTGCTTTTTGATTCAAAGGAGTATCCAGCCCCATTTTGTCCCCTTTCTAACAGTATCAGGATGCTACAGGACAAATAAATGGAAAGGTTTTATAGAGATCTTACCAATTCGATATTTTAATTCTATGATGGTTTCGCCTTCTCTGCTTAATTCAGTAACTTCACAAGTATAGTTTCCTACAACAGCTTCTTCCTTACTCATCTCCAAAGAGGCAATGCCATTCAGTAATTTCTGTGGTACGATTTTTGTACTCTTAAACTTATCACCGTGAGTGGTCTTTTGTACAGCTCCATCAAAGGTGAAGATGTCTTTTCCTCTAAACTTCCACTTTACATACATCTCATTAATGTTTGTGGCCTCCACATTATTAACAAAGCATGGGATGATAACACTTTCATTGCAAGCAGTGTATTCTACAGATTTGGTTATGTTAAATATTAGCTGAGCCGAACCTGAAAAAGAAAAAGAAAATTGTTTAATTTCATTATAGGATTCTATACTTTAAGTTGTTACAGATACTTAAGATAAAGAGCAGTATTTCACTTGTTCATTTAAGCAAACAGTAAAACTATAGGGAAGACAGGCAAGGTAAAAAGAAATCCAAATTATTTTAATATTAATGTGCACAGCTGGTAGACAACATTTTAACTTTTCCTTATTCAATCTCAGTAATACAAAGTATACATTGCTATGCATCTTGGGAATAAATTCAGCAACTCTGTTGGAACATGCAGGTGTAGTATCTGGCTTTGGAAGCTTTGAAGTAATCATTACTGCCTACTGATATATGTAGAAAAATACCGTCCTTACCATGGGAAAATTTTGAACAGAAAATCAAACCAAATATTATATTCAGTCTCAACTTTGTATACTTCCTCCAAATAGAACTTGCTGAACTGATAGGAAGTTTATCTCTATCCTTATGTTGCATTTCCAAAAAAGATGACTGGGTCTACTAGACTTTAATACAAAAAAGTAAACCAAATGAATCACATCACATCTCTCCAGAAGGAAGGAAAGTCTTAGAATGCTAAGGAGAAAAAACATTCTCTGTGTCTATTTTCCCATTGCAAAATACAGACAGCAATAGTCATTTTGTATGTAAGTATTAGAAAGGATTATATACAATAGAAAGGCATTTTCCCACCCCTATATTTCACTGCAACTACGGAACAATAATTTCCAAATATATATTACGGGTATTCTTTCCTCCTAGAAACCATAAACCACTGGAACAAAAACTAAGAAACAAGTTAATACCAAGAGCAGATACTGCTAATAAATAGGGTATACAGTCGTCCTCTCTTACCCATGGTTATGCTTCTTGTGATTTTAGTTACCTGTGGCCATCCTCAGTGTGGAAGCAGATTATTCTCCTTCTGACACGCGGTCAGACAATCTATAGTAGCCTAAGTCTAGGTCACATCACATTGCCTACATCCTTCATCTCACCATGTAGGCATTTTATCTCCTTACATCATCACAAGAAGAAGGGTAAATACAGTACAATAAGTAAGTACATTGTATAATAAGTACAATGAAAGAGAGAGACCACATTCACATAACTATTATTACAGTGCACTGTTATAATTATTCTATTTTATTATGTTATTGTTTATCTCTTACTGTCTCTAATTTACAAATTAAGTGTTATTATAGATACATATAGAGTATATTTTGGATTGGTACTGTCTATGGCTTCAGGCATCCACTGGTGGTCTTGGAACGCATCCCCTACCGAGAAGGTGGGCTACTGTATTCCATCAACTCTTCCCTCTAGAATGAACTATCGTCGCCTTATAAAAGAGGGATTGCAAAAGTAAATCCAATCACTTACCTTTCATCTAACATGTACGAGAATATGGAGAAATTATAGCTGTCTTCCATACTGTTCAGCCATTTATCAACTCTTTTACCTAAGTAGTTAGCTGGCTCTTCCCTCAAAAAACAAAGCGCTAACAAATACAAATAAAACATCAACTTCAATAGTTCGTCCTTAAGATTTCTTCTTTCCACATTTATAAAATGGGAATAAAAATCAAGGGCATAGGATGTTAGTTTCCTAGGAACATAATTATTATTCAGTAACTGCCCACTGAGTTGAATGCTAGGATGCATAGTAGGACTTGGACAATCAGAAAGCCTGAGTACAAATTAATGAGTTTACTTAACTTTTCTATGCCTTAGTTTCCTCTCTGTGAGCGAGGATCAAAAACAAACACTGGGCTACTTCATGGAATTGTGATGAGCATCAAGGAGAAAATACCTGGGCAAGTGCTAACAATATTGTACTATAAAAATGAGGATCAATACTGTTAAGTTAGGTGATAAGCATTTTAATGTAATGATCTGGACTTTCTCTGACTGGCAGGTCCAAACTTTTATTTCTGGGGATTTGCAGTTTGAACTAGCCATGGGGATGCCCACAGCTCACCTCTTCCCACTTCTCTACATTTCTTGCCATCAAAATATTAGGAAGTGTCAGGCAAAAACTGGACTTCCAGCTGCATTTTTCAAAGTCTTGGGCTTGTGAATTATCTTCCCTGAGAAAGAAGCACTGGGGGTGGATGGGTGGGGGGAACTAGTGTGTACAATAAAGGAGAGAAGTCAGGGCACCTGGGTGGCTCGGTTGAGTATCCGACCCTTGATTTTGCCTCAGGTCATGATCTCAAGGTTGTGGGATCCAGCCTCGAGGCAGGCTCCACACTAAGTGCAGAGTCAGCTTGAGAGTCTCCCTCTCCCTCTGCCCTACCCTGCCCCCCAGCCCTCAGCCTAAGGCTCTCTCTTAAAAAAAATGAATAAATCTTTAAATAAAAGGGAAGGGAGAAAAAGCAAGATGTTGGAATCAGAAAGAAAGGGAAGTGTCAGAAAATACAGTGAAAGCTTTTGCAATGGACAAAAAGATTACTGAGTGTCCTTTCAATGGAGTGCTGGGAATTGTGTGACAAATTCCTTAGGAATATTTCATTCTGTAGGGAGGGCCCTGTGCCTTTCACTGTGTTTATCTGTCTGAGCTATTTTATAATTTTGGTAAGATTAATGGTAATGCAAATGATTTCTGTCCACAGAGATGCAAATAAACTTGTTCCACAATTCACTCCTCCCTGGTGGAAGAAGAGATTTCAAAAAATCATGTTTTATTGCCATGAGGATAATATTGCATCTATTTGAAAATTCATTTCAGCATTCCTGATTGCCTATAATTGTGTCTGGTCTCTCAATTTTCTTTTAAAACTGAGAAAGTTTTACCATCTTCCTTGTTTACTTGTTAATTAATGTGTAAAATAAAATCTTTGATACATGGTCATTTTGTGTTTGAGTCAAGATTAAAAAAATTCTTTCTAAAAACCACCTTTTAATAAAATAGATACAAGTGAAGAGCTCAGTTACCCTAGCAAACTTTTTTAGAAGGCTCCAAGTAAGGAAGTGGTTGGTGAAAACTCCACAATTTCATTTTTTGTTTAGAGAATGAGTTTTCTAAAGAGTACAGAAAGCACTAATTGCACTACATTATCTGTTGCAATAAAAGAATCTTATAGCTGAAGCAATTTAAGTAGAATAAATGCTATCAATAAAATTCAAAGTAAAATTGACCTAGATAAGCTGTAACTTGAATAACCCTTGCACTAATTAATAAATATAGTCCAAAAATGTCACTCCACCAGCTGTTAACTACAACTTCATCCTCTATAAACATTTATCAAAACAAACAAAACAATTAAGTAGTAAAATTATCTGATTTGAGTTTTCTCTCTTTTGCCTACTGCTTTCTGTTGAAACATCAAAGTGAAAAAAAGATTTAAAATATAGAGAGCAAATAAAAGCACATAGATAATTAATACAGATAAGGAAACTGAATAATCAAAATATGCCTATGGCTCCATGACGCAAGAGCTACACATAAATTAATAAATGAGGAAATAATTTTATATAAAATGCCAAAAATAGTAGACTTCACAACTTCTGTAAATACAGACCACCAACAAACCATTTCAGACTGCAGTCCTGAAAACAGCTACTGTATGTTGTAGAGAAGGCTCAATAATACATGGTAGTCACAGCAAACAAACCTAGCTCAGAAATGTACAGATGCAACATTTATTGAGGATAACCTGATCTGAAACATTGTGATATGATGAGGGGATACAATGATGGAAAAAAGCAGGAATTATCTTTTGGAAGCTTTCAATTCTCATTTTGAACAATGATATATACTTTTTATAACAGGAGGTCATAAGTGCTATCCAATGGCATGAACAAAGTGCTAAAGATGGGCAGGAGGGTAATCAGTCTTATAGATTTCTAAGAAAATTTGCATTGCCACTAGGGGAACAAGGGAAGATTGTCATAGCACTCATCCATTTGGGTCTTGAATCATTTATCTTTTTACATGTTCCATGCAAAACCTCTCTCTCCTTCATAACCCTTAAATCACTGCCCTTTTGCAAAAGCTTATCCTATACTCTCCAAAGAAGCTGTATTTCTTAATTTGAGTCCTTTAGATGAAAAGCCAGAAGCTTCCAATACTTCCCACCTATAAATTTACCTGCAATCCCCATTATTCATATCCCTCTCACCTTCCTCCTTTTTACAACTGCATCCCTTCACCAGTTAGTTCTCATTTCCACACCCACTAATCTCCCCAAAGACTTTCCCTAGTTCATGATCAGCTCCTACATCCCCCATACATTCATAGGTGTTTTTTTAACATATAAAAAAAATGCTTATTAGTCAACTTAAAAAAAAATCACTCATACTTGTTTCTCTCCTCCCTAGCATCCTAAAATAATAATCTAAATGCATTTCTTCACCTCTGATTCACTTCTTAAATATCTGCTTCCCAGCCTCTATCTCTTCTTCACTGCAACAGTTCTTACCAAAGCCCCCAATAATCCCTTGGGAAAAACTGAATGTGCAGTTTACTCTCTTATCTTGACTACTCTATAGGTCCTGAACCAGTAGGCAGCTCCTTTCTTGCTCTTATCTCTTGGCCTCTGTTACAGCTCTTGATTCTGAATTTCCTCTGCTTTGTCCACCTCATTACAGCTTTCCTTCTTTATTGAAATCTATTCCTTGATTTACAGTTAATATTAGGGTTCCCCTTAGAACTTCATATCCAGCACCGACCTCCCAACTCCCAGTTCCCCTGGGGCTCAGCATTCTCTCTTACTCCACAGTTTTAACAACCTATACACTTTTAAACTAGGCCCCAATAACTGCAGACCTAGACAGCCAACTGTCTGCTGTGTACTTCCACTTCAATGTACTACAGTTAATTCAAAGTCAACATGTCCAAAAATCAACTTACCCTCCACCTAACCTCCTCCCAAATCCTCACCATCCCAAGTATTTTTTTATTATCAGTTAACCAGACCTGGACCTAATAAGAGTCATGCTAGATTCCTCCCTTTCCTTAGCTGAGAATTCTTAATAGGCTTAATCTACTTAATGG